TCAGAACACCATGGTGCCTAGTATCCAGACACCATTGACCTAGTGTTCGGACACCCTGGTGCCTAATGTCTGGCACCAGGGTGTCTGGACAATCTTGTCATGACATGAAAGAGGTTCAGAATGGGCTGTATCTAGATGGGGGAAATCAGAAATTGGAAGACGACTTGCACCAGGTACAATTGATCCAAGCTCTGATGGTCTCTTGTAGATGACTGAGAAGGATACTCAACTGAGGACACAATCCCACCTCTAAACCTGTTAGATGGGTCTGTTGCAACCACTAATCAGGAAAAACACAAACTTACTGGAAAACCATTATGGTTTCAAGATTCAGGGATTCCGGACAATAAGCGCCACATCTTTATTCTCTAACTGGGTCAAATTTATCTAAAGTTGTTATTCCAGATACTGCAGTTCACTCTCACCTTAAAACATTCAACATAGGCAAGGCTGTGGGGCTGGATAAGAATTATTTATTCATTTTATTTATATATATACAAGAAGGTACATTGGGTTTGTGAGGGTACATAACACTGTTGTTCTCACATCTTTGCAAAGCCACTAACACGCATAGCAGAGCAACAGAATGACCAGTTCAGCCAGTAAGAAAGATCAGCCCAAGACTATTACGTAGTTATGCTGACCTGTTGACTCCATCTCTCACATACCTCTACCAACTCTGCCTTGCTCCAGGAATTTGACCCTCCTTATGAAAGAAGGCCTGTTCCTGTTGTTCCAGTACACAAAAAGAAGAGCCACTCAGTGGTTGGTAACTACAGACCAGTGTCGCTGCTCGCCATGTCTGGTAAAATTCTTATAACACTAATATTTTGGCAAATATCTTCTTGACCATCATCGGCTACTACATGATCTATAGTATGTTGTGAGTAAAGGCCGATCTGCTGCTGATCTCTGGCTCAACTTCTCCACTAAGCGGTATCAGTCACTGGATGAGTCCAAGATCAGCTGTGTTGTTATACTGGACTTTGCAGGCGCCTTTGATCAGGTCTGGCATAAAGATGTTAATAATAATAAATAATGGCACTCCGGAAAACTAGCAAAGCTTAAAGTACTAGTTATCTCAGGCTCCATTATACAGCCAATAGATTACCTTCAAGAACGGACTCTTAAGAGTAGTCCTCAATGGGACAATCTGAATGCCATTCAACTAAATTGATTCATGCTTGATCCTTTGTTATAGTCCAGTCCAACCTTTTGGCTGGACTGGTTGAGGTATGAGGACTAATGTACACAAGGACGGTATGAGGACGGTAATGTACACAACAAGAGCCTCGCAAATGGTGAACAGCACTGTGTAAGGAGGGACCACCCCAACACGAAGAGGTCCACGTCTAGGTGACCAGCTGGCCCGCTAAGTCAGAGAAAAATTAGGAGGCGTCAACAAACTTTTCCATGGAAACGGAAGGAATCGGGATGGTCTGCAGGCAAGGACTTTGGTGGACACCCCCTGTACGTGAACAACATGGAGAGCCAACCCCGAGAACTCAAAAAAGCCACACATACAGCCCACCTCCAAAGAGACAGGGACCAAAGCAAAACTCTTCCCCCTTCCCCAGTCAATTCAACAAACCTAGGGGGAACAGTCCAAATGAAGCCGAACAACGGAGCCTGAAGAAATTCGCATCCACTGCAGCACATGCCACATGGCTGTAACTGCCCGCCCACACAGGACCATGTGCTTGACAGAGGAGAAAACAAAAACCCCAAACCAGCACGACGATCACTGGTGATCCAGCCCCAGTCGAAAATCAAGGAGACTGGAAAGTCATTGAGCGCGGGCAAAGGACCCAGGAAACTGAACCCCGAAAGCCTGAAGAGGAAGCTGGCAACCCAGCAACTGATGCAGGGCCAACGGAATCCACACCCAGTTGTGAAAAGTCTTCCTGCCCCAGAGGAAGCGGCCCAATTCCCGAAATCAAATGCTGTCCAGGGGACAGCGAGAAGGGCAAGGCTCCTGCACAGCTACCTGAATAACCGTTGAGAAACCCGAGGCTGACTGAGCATCAACAACCAGTGGTGCTGCAGCCGGGACAAGGCTGCTGGATGCAGGGGATAGTTATTGCAGAGGATAGTAGCAATAACCGAGAGCCCAGTTGAAGCCCAACCAAGTTGGACCCAGGCTGGAACCAACTGGGACTTCTGCCAGAACACCAGGAACATTAACCCTGCAAACAGGAAAAGAATCAGACCCCTGGCTAGATTATATAACACCATGTCACAACATTAACAAATTACAAGATAATGTATCATTTAGGAAACAAAATGAGGACAGAGACATATGACAAAAAACGTCAAGCAATCGTGATTATTTGATTGAGGAACATATGAGTAGGCTGGATTTTGGAGGATCCATGGTAATGTACACAGCAACTTTTTAGTATATTCATAAAACTTAACCTTTTATAATGCATATGTATAAAGAATATAATTTATAAATATAAACAAGTATTTTAATGATTTGCACAAACACATCCACTTGGACTGAACAGTAGAATGGTGTTATCACTTCTTGAAGATCGGCGTTCAATCCTCGACCGTACAAGCAATTGGGCACCATTCCATTTCTCTGACCTATCCTCTCAATGTGCCATATAGTTGTAATGACTTGCTTCCTCCTGGTAACTACCTTTCCTTGATGTAAAAGAAATTAAATATAGGAAACTTTAAAATACAGGAGGCCAGAACCATTTAGAACAGCTTTCAATTTCACTGTACAGTATTAATTAACGCTATTATTACTAATACCTCAATGTAAATCATAGTGCACTATTAGCGTTTTGAAAATATTTTCATTGTTTAGATGCCCATTTATCATAACTTGTGAACTCTATCACGTGCTTACCTGCTTGATGGGGTTCTGGGAGTTGTTCTACTCCCCAAGCCCGGCCCGAGGCCAGGCTTGATTTGCGAGAGCTTGGTCCAACAGGCTGTTGCTTGGAGCAGTCAACAAGCCCACATATCTACTACAGCCTGGTTGGTCCGGCACTTCGAAGAAAATTATCTAGAGTTCTCCTGATGTCCACGGTTGTTCCGGCAATATTTCTTATACTTGTTGGGAGGATATTGAACAACCGTGGACCTCAGATGTTTATAGTGTTCTCTGATTGTGCCTATGGCTGGGAGCCGGTCGGCCGAGCGGACAGCACGCTGGACTTGTGATCCTTGTTTAGATGGACTTGTGGTCCCGGGTTCGATTCCGGGCGCCGGTGAGAAGCAATGGGCAGAGTTTCTTTCACCCTATGTTCCTGTTACCTAGCAGTAAAATAGGTACCTTGGTGTTAGTCAGCTGTCACGGGCTGCTTCCTGGGGGTGGAGGCCTGGGCCACGGGGACACTAAAAAAACGCCTCGAAATCATCTCAAGATAACCTCAAGAAGATGGCACCCCTGCGCTTCACTGACTATTCTGCATTTTCTTCCATATCGTTCACTCCAGTATGTAGTTATTTTACCTTGTAAAATTTGGAACCTGGCCTTCCAGTATTTTCTACGTGTATATTATTTTCTCTCTCTCTCGACTCCTTTCTAGTGAGTACATTTGGAGAGCTTTGAGATGATCCTAATTATTTAGGTGCTTTATCGCATATATGTATGCCTAGGTTTATGTAGTTTACATAGTTTAATATTAGAGCTGGCTCCAGTTTTTTACTGCTTTGCTGAAAAACTATCATCATTTATCTGTAATGCATTTAAGAACACATTGCCTGTATTATTAAAAATAAACTATGAGGTTATCTCGAGATGATTTCGGGGCTTTAGTGTCCCTGCGGCCCGGTCCTCGACCAGGCCTCCACCCCCAGGAAGCAGCCCGTGACAGCTGACTAACACCCAGGTACCTATTTTACTGCTAGGTAACAGGGGCATAGGGTGAAAGAAACTCTGCCCATTGTTTCTCATCGGCGCCCGGGATCAAACCCGAGACAACAGGATCACAAGTCCAGTGTGCTGTCCGCTCGGCCGACCGGCTCCCATTTGATTCCAGTACTTTACCATATCGACACAGTAGTTGCACACGAGCTCTTAATGGCATTACAACAAAAGAATTACGTATAGCACACATTTTCAGGAACTTCATCTATTCTGCAGAGGGTACTGGAACTTCCTGTTCTGTAGGACACTGGTCTACAACCAAGGGACCAGGAGTTCCATTTATCTTATGCCTTTTCTCACCTAGCAGCAAAATAGACATCTGGGAGCTAGGCAACTGTTGTGAGTTGCATCCTGGAAAAGGTCAGTAGCTGGCTTGGGGGAGGACCTAGATGAAGCTAAATACAGTACAGGTTTCCTGTTCTCAACAATAGGATTTAAAAAATTAGTAGAGTAAGTAATTATCAAAGGAAGGCCCCAAGTAAGTAATTATCAAAAGAAGGCACCAAACCGGGAAGGCTATGTAGCACCATCAAATACGCAAAATAATCAGAGGGCGCTAAATATCACCAAGGATGCCAATACGAGAACAAAAACGCATAAGGCGAACGATATCAAAAGTATCCGAGTCACCAAGAATTCTATCGAGGGACAGGTGACCGCGAGGGGCGGTCGGAAAGCAAGACACACGCTCGTCCTGGAAGTCAGGACATTCAAGAAGGACATGCACGACTGTAAGAGGGACAATGCAACTAGGACAATAAGGGGCAGGGCGGCGCTCCATCAAGTGACCATGGGTTAAGCGAGTATGGACAATACGCAACCTCGCCAGAGCCGTTTCCCACCTCCAGTTACGGTGGAAGGAGGACGGCCACGAGGAAACACAACATTTAAGAGTACGCAGCTTGTTACCAGTAACAGACAACCAAGAAGCCTGCCAACGGGTAAAGACTGAGGAATGGGGAAGGCCCCAAGCCAGGAAACTTACTTAGAATCAAATACATCTCAATAACATACCAAGTAATTGACATACAGCATTGACAGGACAACTTAACAAAAGCATCGTCATATTTTGGTACTCAACTCGATTAAGGAATGGTAATAAAAGGAACAATTAGGTTTTGAGCATCTTTATTTCAACAAAAATAACATTTCTGACATGTAATGATGTGAGAGTTGGGCGGCGGTGCGTAGGAGAGCATGGGAGGCCGTGGGGAAGGGGACCCGTCCGTCGCATCGCCGCCCTCAACAAGTGGAAGGTCTGTACAATGCGGACTACCCCACGCCACCGCCCAGCCAGGCCGGCCTGCGGGGGCTTTGGAATGAACTTGTCTGAATACAGCAGTGGGTGGGCGCCGTCCGTGCCCCAATTGGACAGCTTTGTTCTCTATGATGGTCTGTGTGGGCACTGCTGTCACCACTAACCACAGATGCAGTGTACTGCCTCGCTGTGGCTAGTGGGGGTGCCAGGTCACGCTGCCATACTTGCTACACACCAACCTCGGTAGTCGGCAAGAGCAGCGGGGGAAAAGTCACCAGAGTAGTTGAGGTTTATAAATATCTATGAGAGAAGAGTAGACGTTGAGGGGAAGAGGGGAGGAGGGGGCAGGGTGTGGGGCAGAGCAAGATGTGGAGTAGCAGCGGGAGCCTCACACCCAGAGCCTGAGTATTAACACAAACCACCTACTTACTCCTATATACACATACAGATGGGGTAGCTTTGTACACCAGAGTGCGGCGCGACAACACTAGTCCACAAAACAGATCACAGATAACACTTATCACGGCAGTTGTCCAGTCTGGGGTTCAGTCATCATCACTGACGGGTTCAACATTTGGTTCATAGCCTTGGGGATGGCGCCCCCCACTGGCATTACTACTAGTAGTAGTTACAGTAGTAACAGGAGGAGCCCCGGGACCCCCAACACTTTGGCCACTATGACCACGGAATCCAGGATAAGGGTAAGGGTACTGGCCACCTGGCCCACTACTACCCTGTGGGTAACGTTCTCCTGCTTCACCTCCTTTTGATACCACCTTTCCTCCACCAACTGTATCCCCAGCTTTGGAAGTAGGAGGATGATCACGTGGAGTTTCATCTATCACCATTTCCCCTGACTGAGGAGAGTCTGCTACATCATCACGTGCAGCTGGCTCTTCCCGTCTGTCTTTCACCATGTCACCTCCAGTGGACCGTGGACGGGATGGTGGCCGTTGCTCACCCGTGTCCTGGCGTGGCCGTTTTTTTGACGGATCCTCCACATCAAAGTGAGCATTTTGTTGTGTTGACTGTTGAGAGACTGGTGTTCCTGAGCGAGGATGTCTACCGTCCTCGTGAACACGTTTTTCCCCCTCTTGTGAATCTGGCGTTCTCATCACTTCTGCAATCTTACAGCGGACATACTCGAATACTTCTTTCGATGCACCTCCGGGCTGGTAAGGGGGCTTATGGAAATTCCAGTGAACATTTTGTTCAGTATGATTTGGATCAGAGGTGGGCTGAGCAGATGACGTGGGAGGTGATATTGGTTCTACTGGAAAACTACTTGCCGGGGCAGCCGGAGGTGTACGCATCTTGTGATCTGGCCTTGGTGACACCGATTGTGCAATCCGAATAATCTTTCGTTCATCGGGCGCCAAGTGTTGAGCAGATAGGTGATGGGTACTAGGTGAAGCTGTAGTTGGTGGAGGACGGTGGGGTGAACGTGATTCGATCCGTTCTTTTCTCTCTTTATCGAGTCCCCCACGTACCTTCCAGTGGTCATAGCCAACTTGGGAAACTGTTACAGCTGGTGGACCACCAGATCCAACAACAGACCGTCCATCTGTTCTTAAAATTTCAAAGGGAGGACGGCTATATGTCAAATGTGGTGCAGATATCTTGCGTCCATCTCCACTTGAAAACTCCCTATGAATAATCTGGTCCATGTGAGCTTGTATAGATTTGGGTCCTGGATGATGAGAGGGCACATGTAGGGAGGTGCTCAACCCCTCTTTATGGTTGATAGGGTTGGGAGGTCGTGGGTCAGGTCCGTCCTCCACCATCACTACCTCATTCTCTTTGGATGGAGGACCAGCTGAAGATCTGACACGCTTGTCTAAATCCACCACTGGCAGCCCACTTTCACCTTCCCTTCTAAATGTCCGCTGCTCACCACCTCCAGCACCGCCTGTTCCCCCTCCCCCTCCACCCCCATCTCCACTATTGTTATTTATCTGGTGGGTGATGATTGCATCTATCAAGTTGGCGGCTGTCAATGTTTCACTCTGACTACGATTACTACTTTTAGGGGAAGGCGTCGCCTTGGGGTCGTCCTTTTTGAAGCACGCCGCTAATCCTTTTGCAGCATCATTTTCTAAGTCTGATTTGGGTTCTGCATTTTTTACTAAACTTCTTTGTCTTTCTCTTTCATATTCTGCCCTGTGCTCAAGGTAACGATCAGGCTGTGGTGGCGGAACCCGTCCATCATGAGTAGTAGTCCGGATATCGTGTTTGTTTGGATTCATGGAGCGAACACTGCGGTTCATAGAATCTGTGAGCTGCTTCTCAAACCCCTCAAGTTGAGTGTCATGATGAGGTCTGTTCTCACGTCTAATATCAACAGCAGGGTAAGCTCCACCCCCTCGCTGTGCTACAGCAATATCCACCAAAGCATGAAAATTTTCAGATCCTGGAGGATGTCGTGGTGAAAAACAACCAGTTTCTGTTCGTGGCGATGCACTTTTGGGTGGTGGTAAATGAGGGGGAGGTTTGCTGGGTGGCCTTCTCTGAATAACGCCAACACGAGGTGGAGGAGTGGGTGTAGAAACACCAGGAGATCGAAATTCGTGAGGTGAAGGAGCAGGTTCGCTTGTTGGAGGTGTTGGTGTAGCGTCCCTGGTTGAGGCAGGTGATGGGGGTGGTCTGGACACCCGCTCTTGTTGAAGATAAACAGGAGCTGAGGGTGGCTGTGATGGAGGTTGATAGGACCCGTGAGGAGCACTTGCTGGATAGTATACATTGCGGGGATCTCCTGAGCTGCGAAGTTCTACCATTCTGTGATCTATAGCCCTAGGATCTAATCGGGGATCTATGTTCCTTAAATCAATAGAACGAGGATCTACAGTTCTAATGTCTATTGTTCGAGGATCAATTCCCCTGGAGTCCATAATGCGGTTTACAGTTGTAGTTCCTGGTAAGGTGCGGTGATCACGAGGGTCTTGTTGTGGACTGTGGTCCCGCCCTCGCGGTGATACTCGTGGATCTTTTTCAGTTACACGTCTCCCCGGCATTTGTTGTGAAGTCAGGTAATCGGTGGCAATGATATGCCGGGAAGTGATCTGTGAGTCTGAATATGGAGGTCTGGCAGGATATGCATAATTAGGATAAGCATATGTAGGGTTGGGAGATGCTGATGAGATGGGCGGTCGTGGTCCTCTATACATATGTTCACGATCATACTGTGCAGCCAATGCCGGTCGAGGTATTATTTCTACACCACTTCCAGGTCTAGGCTCAAACGTCACATCTTTGTAAGGATTGGTTGGGCCAGAACGTTTTTGGTCATGGTGCATAGGTGTTCCCTGGGTAATAGAGCCTCCTTCCTTCCCCATACCAGTCTTGGGCATCATATCAAAGCGTGTAGACTGTGACATGGGAACCGAAACAATGGGTGGTGGATTTACTGGAGTACCATGAGTTATAGAACCCACATGCAGTTGCCCTTGTTTTTCAGGTTTGAGTGGGATTCGTGAGGTTGTGTTAATTGTTTGTGGTTGCGGGTGTTGGGTACGTACTGTAGTTAGTGGTGGTGGGGGGGCCATGCTGACCTTAGGCTTAGATGCCTGTTGGGCATGTTGAGGTCGTACAGGAGTTGTGTATACTAAGGGAGAGGATACACTGGTCATGATTGATGGAGGTTGATGGGATATGCTTCGGGAGTCTGTTATATATGCAGATGGGGACTTGTTGCGTGGATCTGTTATGGTCCAAGGTTCATGAGGGGGTTTAGTGTAAGTGTTGGAGTGTGCCCTTGGAGGTGGCTCCTTGCTGGTGATTGTCACTTCTGCACCACCTCGAACTGTCATTGGAGGAATATCTCTTGGTGTTGAGGTGGGTGGTGGTGGTGGTGGTGGTTGATGAGTCTGAGGGTGGTGTTGTGTGTGCTGAATGGGCAGTGGGGGCATTGGGTGCTGTGGGTGTTGCGAAGGGGGCGAGCGATTGCGCTTATGAATACTGAGGTCAAGACCCTCACACTGAACATCTTGAGGATGATAAGCCGGGACATCACTTGGAGGAAGCCCCGCTCGGGGATCGTTATATCTACCAGGGACTGCTAATCGCTGTTCACGCTGATATTCTATACTGCCAGGCGAAGGTTGGGGCGGTGCTTGGCGTCCATGTGTTGCTTTTAGAATAGAGTGTAAGGTAGGTGGAGACTTGGTGGGTGGGTTGGGGATCTTATCTTCCAATGACTTCTCAATTGTAATATAAATCAGGTCCCGCACATTACTAGATGATGATGAAGCATTTTCTGGGGTCCCTTTAGAATTAGGTGGTACAGAAGATGTGTGAGGAGGTTTACTGGGAGTGATGGGTGGAGGTCTCCTCTCGCCTGGATGAGGAATGTGTTGAACTTCAGGAGAGTCTCTCCCAACTCCACTCTGTCCCTCATCGGCACTGGCAGTGGCCGAGGAGTCGTTATCTTCCCGTACACTCGAGGGAGGTTGGGTCACTGGTGGCAGAGGCTCCTTCATCACTCCATTACCGGCACCACCACCTTCACGCTTTTCTATTAAAGAAGAAAAAATGGTGTTAAAGATGTTTATAATATTGTACAGAAAAAATCAATACTTAACCATAATTTAAATTTCCAGTATTTATACCAATCACAGCCGTCCTTTAAATTTCTGTTCAGAACAGTCTTACCAACAACTACTCTCATGGTAACTGTCAACATATTTTATTCTGGAATTTCCAACAATGACTTCTAATTATGCTTATTTTATGGTTTCAGAAATGCTCTTCCTTGTGTTTTTTCGTCCCCCCTTCATAGATTCATGTTTATCATCGTGTCCTTATTGTCTTCAGTCTTCCACTTTGCCCTTTTTCAGAGCGAGTTACTTTTCATTGCATCTCATATTTCTTAATACTTCAATACAATGTATTTCATGCTTTGGATAGTATAATTTTTTTTTAATATTGTTTCTTTTTATGTTTGGGCACCAATTTAGGTCTAGCATTTATATAAATAATTATTTTAATCTCTCTCCAGCCATGTACCGAAAGTCAATTCTTTTATCTGTCCAACTTGTGTTGGACACCTAATTTACATGATTTGCTGGCAATAAGATAAAGTATTACTTATGATTACACTCCGGGCAATTGCTGATCATTATGGGACTGCATTAGAAGATTTTCCAATACGAATAACATACCTTGTATCATTAATCTAATTTTCCTTTCAGACAATGTCTCCCGTCAATTTCAGCAGGGTACCCTCTATACCAGGGGTTGGGAAACGGGTAAATTGCCCCAAATGCAATAATAAAATATGTCTAGGTAAAGGTTAAAAAAAAATTTAATAATGAGCATGTAAAATTTTTGTACTTTTTATCAAGTTGGTTTTGAGAAATTTAGAAAACTACTAATTTTTTTCTTTTCAAAATTATTGAACTTTGGGGTTAATATTTTAACACAAATATATTAGAATTAATACCCAAGAAAGTTCCCCAACCCCTGCTCTATACAGTATTTCTTACATCTACCAAGTTCCAAATTAGCAATTCATGATAACCTTTGTGTCAAGACATGTGCTTTATCGTGTCTATGCATGCTATATATATATATTCTCTGTATTTCCTCTATTTCAGCAATCTCTCCTGCTCTGAAGGAAGAAATTGAGTACTGAGCAGTACTCAAGGTAGGACAGCACCAGCAAACAGAAAAGTATGAGTGCTGCGATGAGATCCCTGGATTTGAAGATTTGCAATCCATCCAATCATTTTTCTAGCTGATGCTGTATTTGCTTGGTTATGCTCCCTAAATGTTAAGTCATCAGACATCATTATTCCCAGATCCTTTACATATTGCTTTCCTACTATGTACAGATTTAATTGTGTTTTGTACCATGTATTTTGTTTAAGGGCTTCATTTTTACCATACCTAAGTACCTGAAAGTTATCACTGTTAATCATCATCATATTTTCTGCTGCCGTTTGAAAGCTTTATTAACACTTTCGCGCTCTCAGCGCTCAAAAAAAACAATACCCCAGATGCTTTCGGCACTTCGCGCGCCTATGCGGTAAGACCGAAAAGTGTACACTCTTTTGACTGTCCTGACAATAATTGAAGGCGCACGTATTTAAATTTGGTATCACTGTGTTCGCAATGAAATTGTCTACAAGAGCATACCTATAAAATGCCGCCCAAGCATAAGGAGTATCAACACCAAATAAAAAACTATGCAGATCACTCGCCGAGAGCGCCAAACAGCAACAAAATGTTTCCACTCTCTTAATGGTTGCGAAGCCTACAGTTGTCCTACATCGCTAATTTTGGTATCATTGGAATCGCAATAAAATTCTCTACACGGACATATGCATATGAATGTTTAATATAGGTAATTGCCCACCCGCAAGAGTGTGTGAAGTGGAGAGTAGTTAGCCGCGAGCGCACTGGCGAAAACACAGGGGGGAAATCATGCTTGGAAAGTTTATACGTTTCCTGACCCTACTTTTCTATGTACGTATTTCTTTTTTATACCAATGTGTTCGCAATAAAATTTTCTATAAGATGAACTGTATAACATTTGTACAAAGCATGTGTAAGAGAAGCGCCAAATATAGAACCACGTCGCTCAGTATGCGTTCGCGGCAGAAACAAACGCATTGTTTTCGTTCGTTTGATGTTTGTCATGTTTATACTTGTTGAAACATTTTATAATTTGTATGACAGTGATCGCAGTAAAATTCCCTACACAGACATATACATAACACATACAAATATTTCCCACGTGTTGGATATATCAACGGCTAAAGGGAACCCACTGCCACACGCTCGCCACACCCCCAAACATACTTTGTGTATTTTTTTTTTACTCATAGAAGTTTATGTGATATAATATTCATTCTTGTACCAAAACATTCGCAAATAAATTCCCTACAAAACAAAAGTATCCCCATCCATTTCGGTTAAAAATGGAATTTATAGAAATATTTTTTCGATGGACGAGAAAACTCGGCTGTTATGCGGAATCGTAAGAGAAAACGGCGACGAGTTATCTCTAATCTAAAGCGCGAAAGTGTTAATATTGGCTTGTAATTTTTCAATGTCTTCTACAAAAGTAAGTTCCATGCTGATTTTTGTGCCATGTGCCAAAGATGACATGAAGCTGTGACTTGTATTTTTGTCTAGATCTGATATGAGAATAAGGAAGAGTAGTGGTGCAAGGAATGTACCTTGAGGTACAGCGCTTTTAATTGTGCTTGAACTCTTATATGATTGACTGTTACTTTTGGGGTTCGGTTTGACAGAAAATTGAATATCCATCACTGTACTTTATCTGTTATTTCTGCTAACCTCATTTTGTAGGCTATCACTCGATGCTCACATTTATCAAATGCCTTTGTGTGTATATACCACATCTACATTCTGTTTTTGTTTTATTCTAATGCTGCAATGATTTTGTTATAGTGGTTGAGTAGCTGTGAAAGATTGGTTGAGTAGCATCTTCCCGCTCAAAATTCATGTTGACCTAGGTTGTGGAGGTCATTGGTCTCCATAGAACTGGAGATCTGATTCCTGATCACTCTCTCAAACTATTATTGTGGGACATTGGTGTGACTGGTCTGTAGTTCTTAAGCAATACCGCAAAGGCATTATCATTAGCCATGAAAACAAATCCTGTATCTACCAACTAACACTAGAAAAAAAGAGAAAACAAAAGACCAAGCCAGAATACATAACCTATAAATTACACACAAAAAGGTTAAAGCCTATGCACCAGCAGCAACACTCATCCCAAAGTCAGATCCCAAACAGGTTCACATACGGTGCCCACTACAAAGTGTATCCACGTACACTGTGGAGTAACATCTATTCATTTAACTTGAAATAAAAAAAAAGCTGACTACAGCCATGTCTCCTACAAAATATGACAAAAGTGAAGAGCACCCAAATCATATAATTATCATTTGTGTTCTACAGACACACACACTAAACGTGTTAAGCTTTCAGTTGCTTTAAGAAAAAAAGGAATGGCAAATAACTTCATATACTGGATTTGTGATGCAGTTAACTGCATTTTACTGAAGATAATAAATATTTATTAAAAATATTTCTTCTGCAGAGTATAGAAATTTCCTCGTTATGCATACTCAGAAATTTCTGAGAAATGCAAACGAAAAGTAAAGAACACCCAGGTACAGGCGTATGTGAAAAAGGGATGGATTACGAAACAAACTGAATGCGCTGAATGTAATGAAACGCCAATTTCTGTAGTGAACCCCCATGGCTCCCTGAAGTTACAATGCTGATACAGTGCCAAACAACTAGGTGCCATCAGTTGCAGTATTCATTTCTGCCTACGAGGGACAATGAGCCAGAACCTGGTCCCCTCTTAAGAGGCAGAGAGCAGTGACACTACGATAAAATTATCAATGAATTTTAATCATGTCTACTGCCACGGTGAAGCACAGATAAAGTCCGCAAAACAAAATAGACCACTGCTGGTTATAAGGAAATATCGACACCTCAAATCATCAAAAGAACACCTCCAACAATGTAAACAAACTATAAAAAATTCACAAGCTTGTTTGCCCCACCTTCCCCTTTGTTTGGGGGATAGGAGGGAGGAAGACCAGTTCACCCAGTTGCTCCATCTCATGTCTATGACAATGAAAAAATCACACCCTCTCCTCCGACTACCTGAGGGAGGGAAGGACGGAGGGTGTCAGGAAACCACCACGACTCAACCCAGAAATTTGTTTCATTACATTCAATGCTGGTTTTCTGGAGGAAGTCCTTTTGTAGCTCTACCCATTGAGAAGGTAAAGAATAGGGATGTATCTGGAAGGAGGAAGTACCACAAGTACCACAACGATGAGACCAACAGTTGCAACATGAGTCCCAAGGACACGCAAAACCGACAAAGTCCTGTACAACCACAGAAAAAAAAAATCCACAAGCCCAAATATTGGCCCACGATCTAGTGGCAAATACAGCCGACAGAACTTCATACCAATGAACATGTGTATGAGGGTAGACTGCAGGCAGGCAATACTCGACCTAAGACGACCTAAGAAAAACGAGACCTGGAACAGGGAACTAGGGAAACCAGAGAAACCCACAACAAGGCCACTGACTCGGAAGCAGACTCAGGCAGCGCATGAGTGGACCACAGGTGAACAGTGCCCAAGAAAGCAACGACCCCAAACGAAGCTGGAGCGGTTTCACCAGTGCTGTATAAAATGAAGTGGCAGTAACTGTCAAAAGATGCTGATCCAGAAAGAAAGGACAACCCATCCTGACACAGAAGAGAAACGACAAAGCGAGATGAAATATGGAAAGCACGCTACAAGATTTCTACTCTCACCTAGATGCAGGAGGGACACCAACAAACCCGCCCCCGCCACCTGATGATCACAGTAGAAATGGCAAAAACATGAGTCAAACTCCAGATGTGAAGAACGGAGAAGGCGGAGCCAGCAAGGAATGTTACCTTACCAATTTTCGGAGAGGCCGACAATGGCTGGGTTCGGACACCTAAGAAGCAGCACCTCAAACCAAGGC